ATTTTCATCCCAGAGTGGATTATTGAAAACCTGCATTCCCTTAATGACTCCTCCTCCTCCACTCTTCTGTCCACAAAATAACTAAGAGTTTTGATAGACGTGAATCTGGCCATGTGCCCTTCTATATTTTGGATTCATGGGGTTTTTACGAAAGTCTCTTAATACTCTAGCTTCTTATTTCTTCTGCTCTAATCAGACTTCAAACTCCTTAGACCAGGTTCCCTGTGGGAGGGCTTTGGTCCACACTAAATGGACCAAATTTTGGTCTAATGGACCCTTATTTTATTTATTTTTGGTCTTTTTGAGGAAGAGTCTCCCTGTAGCCCCAGCTGTCCTGGAACTCACTATGTAGACCAAGCTGGCCTTGAACTCACAGAGATCCATCTGCCTCTGCCTCCCAAGTGCTGGGACTACAGGCGTGCGCCACCATGCCCAGCTATTTCCCTAATTTTTCAACCCAGAGCAAGTTAGTTTAGTTGTAGGCATTCTTCAGACTTCTGCTGAAAAGTCACTTCCTTCCAAGTCTGGCCTCTCTATTTGTACCACATTACTATCTTAGAATGTCACAGTTTGCTATCACAAATTAATATGACTATTTACAATTCCTATATATTTTGTTTTCTCTATATATCTCTCTGTCCAAACTCGTTATTCCACTCAAACCTGACCCTTTTTCTCACCTCAGAAAACTCCACCACTCTTTCAATTGCTTAGGCCCCAAACCCCTGGATTCTCAATCTACATATATCAGCAAATTTTACTGCTGCCCCTGCCAATCCAGTCATTCAGACAGCTTTCCTCTATTGCTCACTGTGGCCAAAGCCATACTATCCCTTTTTGGGTTGTTCTAGGACCTGTTAAAACATTTTGCTTTTGGGGCTGGAGAGATGGCTCAGCGGTTAAGAGCACTGACTGCTCTTGAAGAGGACCCAGGTTCGATTCCTAGCACCCACATGGCGGCTACAAACCGTCCTTGACTCCAGTTCCAGGGGAATCTGATGTCCTCTTCTGACTTCCGCGGGTGCACTCACATACATGCAGGCAATACACTCATACATATAAAATAAAAATAAAAAACAAAACAAAACACTTTGCTTTCTTTTTTGTCACTCCTTTGCCAGTACAGCAATTACACTGATCCTTGTGTTAGTTACTTAGGAGACAGATGTGTTACTAGGTGATTTTGTCTGGTATGAGCATCACAGAGCATAGTTACACAAACCTATATGGTATAGTCTACTTCATACATAGGTTATATGGCATAGCCTACTGCTCCTAGGCAACAAATCTGCATGGTATATTACTGAATTGAATCACTGCAGGCACTCTTAATAAAATGGTATCTATGTACACAAATATAGGAAAAGAAGGCTAAAATAGGGCAAGGAATTTTTCAGCTCCATTATGACTTTATAGGATAGCTTTCCTGAAACATTACTACATTATGAGTGTCAGATGTCATTCCTCGCTGGAACTCTTCAATGATTTGCCATCTGCTACAGACTGAACTGTGTTGCCCATTTATACCTGAAATCACTCCCCTTCTCTATGATTGTGCTGGAGATAAGGTTTTTAAAAAAATATTTTCTTTATTGTTCTTATTTTATGTATATGAGTGTATCACCTGCATGTATTTACATGCACTCATGTTATGCAATGCCCACGGAGGTCAGAAGAGGGCGTTGGATCCCCAGGAATTGAAGTTACGGAGGTTTGCTAGCCACTATGTGGGTGCTGAGAACCAGACCTGGGTCCTCTGCAAGAGCAGTCAGTGGTCTTAACCGCTGACTCCAGCCCCAGAGGTTTTTAAAGGAGTAAACTGCAGATTAAATGAGGTCATAAAGGTAAAGCCTGGGTCTAATACAACTGGTGCCCTTATTAAAAAAGGAAGAAGCAACCAGAGCTGTCATTCCACCATGTAAGGCCACACTGAGAAGGCAGCTGTCTACAAGCAAAAAATCCTCACCCGAACACAACCAAGGTGGCACCGACTCAGACTCTGAAGCCTCCAGAACTGTGAGAAAATACATTTTTTGTTGCTTAGTCACCCACTCTATAGTAAAGCCTTAAGTATCATTTCACTCTCTAGTGTAAAAGTCAAAGTATATCCAATAGCCAGAGGCTTGACATACTTCCCACATCCTTGAACTCTGACCTAATTTCCTTTGATTCTTCCCATCTCTTAGGCAGTTCCAGTCAAACTGGCCTAAAGGTAATTCTATGAACAAGTCAGGCATGCTCACTTTGGGGCCTTAACTTTATCTGCTTACAACATTACTTTTCCCAAATATTTGCATAATACATTTTGTCACTGAATGCCATTCTCTCAATGAGGCCATCCTAAGGAAAATTTACCATCTCCATCTCACACCTCCCATCCCTTTTCTTTAGCATTTGTTACCAACAGATAGGTTATTATATTTTATCTATTTACCTTATCTATTCTTATGGGCTTTGCGGGATGGGTTTAGCTATATTGTAAGGACACAGGCTGGCTCTTAGCAGGTGTTTGACATCTGTTGAGCGAATTAATGCTGAAATCCAACCGCTATGAATTAGCTTTGAGGCTGAAGGGCACAACACCAGATAGTTTCTATCGCAGCAATTCCCTAGCAGAAAATGGCACAGGCACACTTGCAAAGACCACTTGTTTTTTCTGGCTTCTTCTGGTTTTCCATTCATATTAGGAAAGTTCAAGAGGGGTTTAGAAGCCCTGACTAGATGACACAAGAGCTGCTATTTCTATCTCCATTTAAAAAAAATATAATACTTTATTTTATGGGTATGAGTGTATTGCCTGCCGTGTAGGTAGG